CTTGTTTTTTTATATTTATCTCCTTTTAGAATTGCTGTCATTTGCCTGGTTGTGTTCAAGGAAGGAAAACCCAAAATACTACTTACCAGGAGAAGAGGCGAGATCACGGCCATCCATGGTGTCAGTTGGACCGGCAAAGACTTTACTTAAGGTTAGGGCTCTTGGTTCTCACTTTGGAGAATTGAATCAATGAAAATCATCAAGAACTGTGGTGCCTGTCACCCTGGTTTGAGTCCTGGCTCCTCTATAGCTGTCACTGGCCCATTTCTCTGGGCTTTCGTTTTCCCAACTGAAAAACGGAGGTAATTATAACACCCATCTCATTACTTTCTTTCTTTCTTTCTTTCTTTCTTTCTTTCTTTCTTTCTTTCTTTCTTCCTTCCTTTCTTTCTTTCTTTCTCTCTCTCTCTCTTTCTTTCTTTCTTTCCTTATTTATTTATCTATCTATTTTTTAATGCATGTAGCTAGGGTCTTATGTAGCTTAGGCTGGCCTGGAAACCAGTGTAAAACTAAGGATGACCCTGAATGTTTGATCCCCTAATCTCTACGTTCTTGTACTAAGATTATTTATGTTGATTTTAGTTAAGAGAGAGTCTCACTGTGTAGCTCAGGGTGGCTTAAAACTCAATATGTACGTTCAAGTCCACACCAGCCTCGAACTCAGAATCTTCCTATCCCAAATTCCCAAGTGATAGGACAAGAGTCATGAGACCAACACATCGAGTGCCCTAGCCCCTGACACAGAATAAATCACATACATCAAAGAACATGTGAAAAGTGCCTATGGAAAATACTATCTCAGGAGGACTATGACATTCTAAAGACCAAGGATTCGGTGTCCCAGGCCCCACAGAGTGGCAAGACTATGAGACAGAACTCTGGTCCCAGGCTGGATACGCTTCTACCTCTCAGGACTCATTACCATCTTCTTGTTTTATTTTTGGTCTTTTGAGACAAGGTCTCACTTTGCAGCCAGCTGGCCAGGGATGTGCTATGCAGACCAAGCTGTTGATGTAGAACTTGGCAACAATCCTCCTGCCTCAGTCTCCTCAATGCTGGGATTAAAAGTGTGAGCCACCATGCCCAAAGTTATTTTCTTCCTTAGAGTTCCCTCTTCCCTCTGTAGGATGGCTGCCAGATGCTGCCTCTATTGGCAGCCCCAAGAAGCCAGTGCAACTGTGAAGTAGTACTTCTGCCCCAGGGCTGGCTCCACCCTGTTGACCAAGGTTTTTTTTTTTTTTTTTTGTTCTGCTCAGCCAACTCCGTCTTTATGCTTTGCCTAAAAAGGAGTTCTCACCCAACCCTGCTGCAATGGGAAATGGCTGACTGCCCTAGAGCTTCCGGACACAGAGCTCTTTCGGGGGATAGAAATGGTGGCACAAGCTTTACACTTCAGGGGTTTGAGGGTTCCGCTGGCAGCAATTGTCTAACATGAAGCTCCTTTCCCAAAAGCAGATGTCAGAGGAAGAACTTTATTCTGTGAAAGATCCTCTAGCCAGTGTCATATGATAAGGCAGTCTTAGCACATATTTGCATGGAGGAAGTATGACAATTTTCATAGGCCTTTAACCGGAAAGAAATTGAAGTTACACCTAAAATCTTGTATGCTTTAGGAAGGTAATTTTTATCTTTTTTGACATCCGAACCCATCTAAAATAGGATATTTAAACAAGCCTCATGCTTTGTTGCTTCCTCTTCTCCTTTCAGTTGTTTTGGTTGGTGTTTGTTTGTTTCTTAGAGTCATGGTCTTACAATACAGCCCAGGCTGGCTTAGAACTCATTATGTTGCCCAACCTGGCCTTCAACCCTTGATAGTTTTTCTCTCTCTGCATTCCTGAATAGTCAGAATACAAGTGTAAGCCAACATACCTGGCTTTTATTTTGTTTTTGCGAGTTTGCAGGCACATTTGTATACACAAGTTCAAATGCACATGAGCATACACATACATGCCTGTGTGCATGCATGTACATGCATATGCAGACACATGTGGAGGCCAGCACAGAACTGAAGCTTACCTTTTTGTTTTATTTATTTAGATATTGGTTTATTTATTTATTAAACAGGATCTTTAATTCCTTTCTAAAAGATTTAATTCCTTTCTAAAAGATTGTCTTTAGTTCCAGCACTTGGGAGGCAAATGCAGCCTGACCTCTGAGTTCAAAGCCAGCCTGGTCTACAAAGCTAGTTCCAGGACAGCCAGGGCTACACAGAGAAACCCTATCTCAAAAAAAAAATTTTTTTTTTACTTATACGGTTATTTTGTCTGCTCATATATGTGTATATATTTATATATGTATGTATATGTCTATATGTATGTACACCATGTGTGTAGTGCCCTGAGAGGCCTAAAGAGGGCATTGGATTTCCTGGAACTGGAATTAAGAGATGGTTGTGAGCCACACAGCAGGTGCTTGGGATGAACTCTGGTCCTCTTTCTCCAGCAGCCAGGACTTTATGCCATGAGCCATCTCCCCAGCCCAGGGTCCTACCTCACTGCTTCTTTATGCTGTGGCTACTCACTGCTGGCTTACATTCTTCATGGCTTCCTCTCAGGATGTGGGGATAGCTTCTCTATTGTGAGGACCACTTCAGAGCCATCAATCGCCTCCGATTAGTGTTAGCTGACTCTGTGTGCCAGGTCCCTCCCACTTGGTTTTGCATCTCTGCCCGGCTCTTCGAGTGAGCTCTTCGGCGATTTCTTCATCTTCTGCCCGTGGATGCCGATCCTCAGCTTCTCCACAATGGCTACAGGGTGGGTCTCCTCCTACTCCCAGACACCACAGAGAATGTATCCCCAGTGTCCGGACAGAATCGAGTAGTCTCTTGTCTGGAAAAAGACTTGGGACGTTTGCCTGGAGCCCTTTTACGGGCATTGTAAACGCTAAGTGCAGGGATCAGCATTTCCCGTAGACCTGTATCAAAAATCTTCTTTTCTAATTACTAAGGTAATAAATGTGTTTTATTAACACAGATGCCTACCTAAGCACAGAAATGTAGAGATTTTAAAATTTGTTGCAGGAGCAGCACAGTGGTAGAGAGCTTTGCCAGCATACACAAGACTCTGGGTTCTCAGCACAAGAAAGGAAGGGGGGTGGGGAGGGAGAAAGACAGGATAAAATTCAAGGCTTTTATAGTGACATCAAAGGGTAGCTATTACATACTGTTCCAATATACATCAAAACATCGTACTGTTTTTAAAAAAAAATCAAAATGGAGTCAGGCCATGGTGGTGCTCACCTTTAATGCCTTTAATACTCAAGAGGCAGAGGCAGGGGGATCTCTGTGAGCTGGAGGTCAGCTTGGTCTACAGAACGAATTCCAGGACAGTCAAGGCTACACGGAAAAACCCCGTCTTGAAAAACAAAGAAGATAAACAAGCGAAGCATAAAGCTAAGACAACCGGTTCACATACTCTTCTGAAACTTGCATGTTTTCTCAAGGATAGATAAGATGTAGTACAGATATATTTATCCCACTGTTTTGTGTTGTTCCTCCAGCTTATAGAAGTTCCAAGGTATAATGTGCTATAAATTATTTACTTAGGTTGCAGCATTAGAGTTTAGACTATTTCAGTTTTGGGTTTTTTTTTGGGGGGGGGGTTGTGTTTTTGGCTTAACAAACAGCACAGTATTGAATATCCTGCGCAAACATCATTTTGCTCCTGTGTTAGAATTTCTGTGGAATTGCCACTGTTGTCCCAGGATGACCAGGGCTACACAGACAAACCTTGTCTTGAAAACAACAATAACAACAAAAAGCAAACTATGTACTTTTTAAATTTTAGTAAGCATTGCTAAACTAGGTGCCTGCATATGTTTTTTGCAATCCACCCAAAAGTCCAATGGGTCTTGCTTCCCCAAACGCCTATCAGCATTGGTATGATCCAATTTTATGGAGTTTAGTTTCATTTGTGTTTCTTCTGCTGTTAGTAAAGTTGAGTGTCTTTAAAAAACTGTTTGAGAGCCAGGGAGATAGCTCAGGGGATAAAAGTGCTTGCCGAGCAAGCCTGAGGGCCTGAGTTCAATTCCTGGACCACAGGTAGCAAGCCAGATTCAGTGGTTCACACTTGTAATCTTAGCATTCCTACTATAGTGAGATAAGAGGTGGAGACAGGAGCATCCCCAGAAGCTCTGCATGTATGCAGTGCAGCAGCAGAAATGAGAGACTTTGCTCAAAAAACAAGGTAGGAGTCTCTTGGGAACAGCTGTTCTCTGAGCTCCACGCTAGCACCACGGCATGCAATGCTTGCCCCCCTAAACCTCCTGACACCAAACAAGTAGATCATAGGAAAACACTTTTTCCTTACTCTCATGTAGGTGTTAGCTGTCACCTCTCATCAAAGAAACTCCTCTTTGCAGGAAGCAGGTCTCTCCAGACCTTGTTAGAACAGAGAAAACAAACAAACAAACAAGCAAACTGGTCATGGCGTGGCCATTGCCAGTGGACAAACCTACAACACAACTCCTAAACCTAGAGTTTAGGGAACATTACAGGAGCAGTAACAAAAACGTTCTAAGAGCCAGAGGGATCAGGAAGTCTGCCGTGAGATCTCAATCTCTTAGAAACGACAGGGATACTTTACCCACGATAATACAACAATACGGTTGTTTAAACCAGACCTTAACAAGGACACCACCAATAGCTGAGTTAATGTGGAAGGGGGAAGTCTCACCATGCCTCACCCTCAGACAAAGAGCTACAGGCAGCTAATGACTGTAGGGAGTGGGGGAATTAATCTTTGCCAGGGATGAGCCCCTAATTGATTATCCAATACCAAGAGGTCAGTATCTGAAACCAGGCTTTTTTTACACTCTTTTTTGAATACAGATAGTTTGTTATTATTCTTTACCTTAATGGAATGGCAATGTCCCAAGAGGACACCACTGTGCAAGTAGCCAGCTTGATCAGGTTTAGCTTATAGAATCTGTTCACCTCTGGATTGGCCTCCTCAGATGATGAAAAACCTGGGTAATCACACCTAGGACATTTTCTTGTCCTTTATCTGTTGGGCTCTCGGTTTGTTCTGGTTCTTATCCTAGTTGAGAGCTGAGCCTGGGGGCATAGGACTGTGAGCCCAGCTACTGGGATTCTGAGGCAGGAGGACACGAAAGCTCAAAGCCAGCCTGGGAAATTTCCTGAGACTCTGAAGGTAAGATGTGGGGTGGGTGGGAAGGAAGGAAGGAAAGGAGGGAAGGAGGGAGGGAAGGAGGGAGAGAGGGAAGGAGGGAGGGAGGGAGGGAGGGAAGGAGGGAGGGAGGAAGAGATCTAGTGGTCTAAAGGTAGATTAGTTGCTCTTACCACTTAGCCTGCACTTCAATTCTTGGATAGAGAATTATTTTTTTATTCTCCGACAGCTTGAGATGTAGCTCAGTGGTAGAGTGTTTGTCTGACATGTACAAAACAACTCTGGGTTAAAATCCAGCACACACACAGACACACACACATACACACACAGGGGGGAGGGGGAGGGGGAGGGAGAGGGGGAGGGAGAGGGAGAGGGGCAGGGAGAGGGGCGGGGGAGGGAGAGGGAGAGGGAGAGGGGCAGGGAGAGGGGCAGGGGGAGGGAGAGGGAGAGGGAGAGAGGATTGAAGTCCAGGCTTACTTTCTTGACTCTGAGTTTAAATGAAAACTGTTTTTTTAAGGAGTTCTCAGTGTCTCCCTTAATTTTGAAGTACTTTTCTTCTGGGTTTGGGATAACCCTGTCCTTCTTGAGGCTCTGACCACTTTAACTTTTCCATTTCAGACTCACCCTCCAGACCCTTAGACTCACCAGTGTTGTATCTGTGAGCTGGTTCCTGATTTCGGCCAAATGACTAATCACCAGCTAGTGATCTGGTGTCCTTTCTCACCACCACCCCCTGCCTTGATTCTTTTTCTCAGTCACTTAGACACTTGCTTTGCTTAAATATTCCATTATACCTCCCTTATTCTTTGCAATTAATCTTTATCTCTCAATTATCCAGTTTTAGACTTATTTCCTTTTCTGTTTTTGTCTATCTCTTTTGCTATAGCAGAAGGAACTAGTAAATACCAACTCTACAAAAACCTTTAGAATTCCTTTATAGAAATGGGGGTCTGAGGTTCTTTAAATTCACTGGGACTCTGTTTATTGCATATTATGTTGAAAGAACATAGTTTTCATAGCTATTAAGGACGGAGACCAGAGGACTAGGATGGGAACCAGCCAGGGAGAACCACTTTCAAGAGCTAGGGTTAGCTGGATATTTGTTGTCCTGATCACATTCCAGCTTGCTTTTGTGATTTTTTTCCATATATTTTTAGACTTTTTTTTTTAAAGCAGAAACTTGTTTTATTGTACAGGATGGCCTGAAACGCCTGGTTTTGGTTTCTCAGCTCTGCCCTGGGGTTCTGGGAATCCACAGATAAGCCTCCAGCCCATCTTTGCTTTTGCTGTAGTATTGCATTGCTTGTATTTTTCATTCACTTTCCTTGAATTCTGCTTTGTTTCGTTTTTGATAAATGAAAGGAACATGGACTCTGGACTATAAATAGGCTCAGGTTTCAACAGTACCTTTCCAGGTACTGGACATGAGTCCCTGGGCAAGTTACCTTTTCAATTTTTCCTTCCAACAACTGAGTTTTAAAATATAAATCGTATTTGTAAGGCACAGTGCTTTCTAGAGACACGCAGTAAGTTTCCTTATTATTTTCTTTACACCTCTGACTTCCTTACAGTCTTTCTCTGATCACTTCCCACTTGCGATTGGGTTTGGATGAGTCAACGATCCACTTAGAATCTTTGAAAGCTGCAGTTTCTTTCTATCACCTTCTATGTAAGGTCATCAGTGTGCCGCCCCTGACCCAAACAATTAGTCTGTGCAGTCTTAGGATAAGTGTTCAGACACTGGAGGGAGTAACTGTGTCTAGAGTCATACCGTTAGAGCCTGGAGGTGTAGTTGAAGCCAGCTACACATGAAGTCCTGCTGCAAAGATAAGCAGTTTGGTCAAACCCACAGCAGAGGATATGTGACGACTAAGGTTTCCACATGGCATTAAAGTATTCTATATTTGTGTTCCCTCTCTCTCTTTCTCTCCCCACTGTGTGTGTGTGTGTGTGTGTGTGTGTGTCTGTACGTGGAGGTGATGATGACATTGGCCGTCTCCCTCCATTGCTTCTCCACCTTATTTTTTTTTTAAGATGGTCTTTCATTGAACCCGGAACTCACCAATACAGCTAGACATAGCTCTTCCCAGGGATGTTCTTACCTCTGCTTCTGAAGTGCTGACTCTACAGGCACAGACCTGCTTTTTATTTGGGTACTGGTGACCTGACCATGTGTCCTCATGCTTATGTGGCAAATATTTTGTCGACTGAGCTGTCTCTCCAGCCCCAAACAGTTTTCGAATCGAGGACCAATTTATATAACGTAAAATGAACTATTTTTAACCGTACAGTCTGGTGGTACTTAGTAAATTCATAACAGTACAGAATAACCTCCTTAGTCTCGACTGCTTCGTGTGCATGAAGCGTTTGCTTCCCGTCTCCCCTCACACCAGCCCCTGTCAATCACTAATCTACTTCCTATCTCACTGGGTGTGCTTTTCTAGATAAGTCATGGAGAAGGAAGCATGCAATGCGTGTTCCTTTGGGTTTGGCTTCTCCCACCTAGTTTTTGGTAATCAATAAAAACTATTAACAAAATTCAAGAATTATAGAGGAACAAAGTGAAGAAGTAAGACTTTCTATAGTTCCACGGTTTGCAGTGTGGCCCATGTTACTAATGCCATGACTACCTTTATAAACAGGCTGACACAATTTGTACTTTTCCCACCCAGCTTAGTGTTCTATTTAACACACTGAATGCAACTTGCTTTCATGTTGATGCACGTAGGTTGTGTCTTTCTCTTTAGTGGAAATGTAGGGTGTCATTGTATGGTGGTTGTCTAGGTGACTTGATAAACTTGCAGATGGATAGTCTTTCCTCTCTTCCTTCCTACTTATTTGCTAAGTAAAATAATTTGGGTCTTAATCTGCTGTGTATTGGTTTTCCTGAAATCCTGCTATTGGGGAAATAAATGGGAAAGGTTTGTATTCTATAGGGTAGTGTGTGATAACACACACACACACGCACACGCACACGCACACGCACACGCACACGCACACGCACACGCACGCACACACCCTACTCACCTCAGATAGATATCATACAATAGACCAAAGTACAGATACCACCAAAGTCTTACACATTGGTTCCCAAGTTGGTCTCTGGTGGTATTTGTCCTTTGGTTTGTCCTGGGCTCCTCTATGGAGTGGGGATAGGATGGAGGGGTAGAGGAGAGTGGGGGTGGGGGAGGAGTAGATGTGTGTGTGTGTTGTGTCTCCCCAGGAAAAAGCCTGTCGCACAAGTTAAAGCTCAGTAAACCTTGAGGCTGTCCCTAATTTGAGATTCATTTGTTATTGGAATCAAACCCCAAATCAAGGCAGTGTTCAGGGATGCAAAGTAAAGAGCCCGAGACTGATAATTAGAAAGTCTAGACTCAGTTTCTCTCTTTCACCGAAGGCTGGATCTGGGCCTTTGGAACGCTGGTTACTTCTGGAGCTTGAGTTTCTTCATCACTGAAATCAGGTCGACGGGCTTCGTGGTCAGTGTGATGTTAAGCTTCTGTTGATATCATTGCTCATGGTACCCATGGTACCATGATTCTTCTTCCTCTGCTTCATAAGGACCGGCTCCCCCGGAGCCTGCTGTGCTGCAACCCCTCCCTCCCTCAGTTATATCTGATTGATGTTGAGGTAGTCACTCGTGACAAGTCAAGTCTGTAAAATCTTTCTCTAGGACTTTTGAATGTGAACCACAGAATGTATGAACAGTTCCTCTCTTGTGGTGGGAGACTGTGAGAAGTGAAACTTGGTAGCCATTGGTAACCGGATTATCAGTGTAACGAGTTACTAATGTAGATAGGACAAAGATTGGCTTCCCTGCTCTGTGGGGAAGTAGTCACACAGAAAGGAGCAACCTCTAAATGAGAGATAGTGTACCCTGGAACAGAATCCAGGGTATTGGGAGGAAACTATGAAGCTTTGAGTCATTTCATGTGTCAACTTGACTACACTACTCGGGATGCTGGGAGATTTGGCTAAGTGTCATTCTGGAGACGTCTGTGAAGGGGTTTATGGGTGAGACTAACATTTGAATGGATACATAAGCAAAGCAGCTGGTCCTCACCCAGTGTGAGTGGAAGGCCCAGAGAGAACCAAAGGGGCAGTTTGCTCTCATTGCCTGCGTTAGAGCTGTGGTGCTGGTCTCCCCGTCCCTTCAGACTTGTTCTCAGACCAGGAAAGCTCTCATTGGCCCTGCCGAGTCTCCAGGTGGACAACCTTTTCAGATTCCATAAGTGTGCCGTTGCTTCAACAAGCTCCTGTCTGTGAGGGCAAGTACTCAAAGGCAGAGACAGGAGGGCCATGTGTTTGAGGCTAACCTGGGCTACATAGTGAGACCCTGTCTCTCAAGCCAAGGGCCTGCAGCTCAGTGGCAGCAGTTGCTTAGCTTGCAGATAGCACTGGGTTCTGTCCCCAGGACTGCCAGTTGAAGGACTATTGGTGGCTTTGAGTCTTTTTACACATGTTCTTCCTGTGTTAACCTTTATCTTCCCTATGCCACATCTTTAGTATAAAGAACAGATTGACTGTAATGCGACACCAAAGTTTTTTTAAAAATTATATAGTTTAAGAAATGGTTTGGGTTGGAGAGATGGCCCAGTGGTTAGCGGTTAGCAGCACTGACTGCACTTTCAGAGGTCCTGAATTCAATCCCCAGCAACCACATGGTGGCTCACAACCATCTGTAATGAGACCCAATGCCCTCTTCTGGTGTGTCTGAAAACAGCTACAGTGTACTCACATACATAAAATAAATAAATAAATCTTGAAAGAAATGGTTCATAAGGAAGACTATACATCTTAAAGAACAGGCTTTTTCTTTCCTCCCCTCATTCTTACCAGAACTTTCCTTCCTCTTTGTGTGAGTACAGTGGACTTTCATTGCCGTAGTTGTGATGGCTAGTCATGATGGTCAACCTAATACCTTGGGAAGCGTGAATCTCATTTAAAGAACGGACTCCATCAGCTTGGCCTGTGAGTATGTCTGTGGGAGGTTTTCTTGATTGATAACTGATGTAAGAGGGCCCAACTTGTTGTGGGTGGTAACACTGCTGGGCAGATGGTCCTGGGAGTTATAAGAAGGCAGGCTGAGTATGTACGGGGGTTGGGGTGGGGGGAGTCAGTGTCCTCCCTGGCATCTGTTTCAGTTGCTGCCTTCAGGTTCCTGCTTGAGCTCTGTGTCTTGGCATCTCTCAGCAATGGAGTGTGACCTGTAGGTCAAAGAGGCCCCACCTCCCACCCCCAGTTGCTTTTGGTCACCATGCTGCGACAGCAACAGAGAAACAAACTAGGAGAGAAATTGGTACCTGGAATGTAAAGAACCTGACCATGTTGAGTTTGGGGAGATTGTGGGAGAAATATTTTAAACTTTGGACTGAGCCGGGCAGTGGTGGCACAGGCCTTTAATCCCAGCAGAGGCAGGAGGATTCCTGAGTTCGAGGCTAGCCTGGTCTACAGAGTGAGTTCCAGGACAGCCAGGACTACAGAGAGAAACCCTGTCTTGAAAAAACAAAACCAACCAACCAACCAAACAAACAAACAAACAAACAAACTTTGGACAAGAGAAGCCACTGAGTACTCAGAGCTCAATGGGGGTTTTGTGGGGGCCAGGAAGAAGAGAACGTTGAGAGAGATACCGTTGATGGAGGCCTGTGAAGTTTCAGACAGAAGCAAAGACTCCTTCAGGGCCATTTGTATGCTATATTTGAGTGAAGAATCTTTAAAAGTGAAACCTTTGCTTTCCTGAGACAATTGATGCCGGTTAGTTGGAACTGAAAGAAATCAGTGATTGATAAGAGACCAGCATCATTGAGGTGAAATCTAGGATCTTATTTTTTCGGGATCAGTCCCAAAAGCTGTGCTCCAATGGGGCTAAGCCTGCATCCCACTTGGCTGTGGACTCGGTAATGCGTATGACTGACCCACGTGGTGCTCGCTTTGAAGGGATGCTGGGATAACTGAGGACAGGTGAGGCTTTGTGTGGTTTGGCAGAGGCAGGGTCCCTAAAGAGAGGCCAGGAGGCCATTGGTGAACATGCAGCCTCTGTAGTCGAGGAGACAAGAATATTGGAGATGCCAGTACTGTGGACTAGCCATCAAGGACAAAGGCAAGTGTGGTTTGGAGCCGACCTGAGCCTAGCAGCTAAGCTGTGTGCTTTGGATCACAGAGCTGGAGAGGTGGGCTTACCTAAGATCTTTGGAGCTCAGAAGATCATGAATGAGATTATATTCACTATGCTGACCTCAAACTCAGAGATCTTCCACCCTCAGGCTCCTGAGTGCTAGCATTAAAGGTGTACATCACCACACCCAGCTGGGCTGTGTTTTATGTTGTGACATTAATATAAGACCTTGGGGACAAGGAAATAGTTTTGGCTTTATAGTGATGTGTTTAGGGCTGGAGAGATGGCTCACTGGTTAAGGGCACTGACTGCTCTTCCAGAGATCCTGAGTTCAATTCCCAGCAACCACATGGTGGCTCACAACCATCAGTAATGGGATCAGATGCCCTCTTCTGGTGTGTCTGGAGACAGCTACAGTGTACTCATATACATAAATAAATCTTTAAAAAAATAGTGATGTGTTTAGGTGTTTATATACAGAGATAACAGGAAGTTCCCTTGAGCTCCACATGAGGGACACACACCCATGTGAGCACGCGCGCGCACACACACACAGGCACACACAGGCACACACAGGCACACACATGCACGCATGCACACCCAATCTCTTAAAGTCTTATGAAAAACCAGGAAAGGGCTGGGCACATAGGTCAGATGATACAGCTTACCTAACGTGTGAGGACCAAGCACTGAACCTAGGTTCCATCCTCAAGACAATACATAAAATCGCCGCTCCAAATTTTATAACAAAGATGTCCATGCGTAAAAGAGAACTCATTTCCTGTGGCTTTGTAGGGAGAAGAAAGCATTATTTAAAAAAATAAAAATTGGGCCAGTAAGATGGCTCAGTAGGTCAGGAGGCCTGCCCCAAGTCTGATGGTCTGAGTTCAGTCCCTAGAATACACATGTTAGGAGGAGAGAGGCAGCTTCCACCCAGTTGTCCTCTGCCCTCCATGAGGATGCCACAGCACAATGCTTCTCCCAAGTAAATAGATAAGTATAAAAATTAAAATTAAGCTGCATGTGGCAGCATATTTGTGTAATTCTTGCACTTGGGAGGTGGAGGCAGGAGGGCCGGGTGTTTAAGGTCACTCTTGGCTACAAGGTGAACTCAAGGCTATCTGGGACTATGTTAAACCTGTCTCAAATCTCCAAACAAGTTGAGTGTGGTGGTTCCTTGATTTAATTAGCACTGGAGGGGGAGGTTGGATGCAAGTGGGTCTCTGTGACTTCCAGGCTAACCTAGTCTATATAGCAAGTTCCAGGCCTACCAGGGCTATATGTTTAGACCCTGTCTCAAGTGAACAAACAAATCTCCAGACTATCTATCTATATATATGTATGTCTGTCTCTGTCCATCTGTCCATCCATCCGTCTTTCCACCCATCTATCATCTATCTATCTATCTATCTATCTATCTATCTATCTATCTATCTATCTATCTGCTGATGAGCATGTGCTAGACAACATAGCTAAAGACCATGCCACTCCTTTTCCTTCTGTTGGTCCAACTCAGAGCTTCTGTAAGCTTTCCCTAGGAACTTGAAAACATTAAATATGTTCTCATTATGTAGCTATAATTTTAGCTAAGGCTAGCCTGAAATTTTCTATGCAGCACAGGCTGACTTTAAAATTCTGATCCTTCTGCTTCTACCTCCCGAGTCCTGGAACTACAGGCAAGTATCACGACATTCCACTTCCCTGGGATTCTTGCAGTTGTCTGTAGTACACTAAGTTGGGTGTGCCTTGGCTCGTATTGGCTGCTCTGCTTGTAAACGTTTCTATGACACAGACCTATGCAGTTTGTTCCTCCTTCGGGTTAAGCTAGCACAGACCCCAGCTTCTGACAATGCATGTCAATGGAGAAAAGTGACTGGATTGGGGCTTCGCATTCGAGGCTTCGTTCCTGCTGTTCCCCCCCGCTGCTGTTTCTGTAAGGCTGGAGCACAGCAGATGAGTAGCCCTCTGGCTGACGGGAGGAGCGAGGTTCCCAAAAGAACTCCTGATGGGCATTGGGTCAGGTGGGATACCTGTTGGCATGAGCCCTTCCCTCTGGCTCGTTCCCTCTGACCTCTCCACAGCCTTGGCAGCACCCTCCTTTCTTCCTGATCCCTCCCCCACTGGATCCCTTAAGTGCTACTGAACCTGTGACTGACCTCCCTAGCCTTCCTCAGTTCCTTGATTTAATGAGAATCTTTAAATGGAGGAGCGGAGCCAAGAACAATGGCACCGAGCACCTGTTTCCTGACCTTTTAGAAAGCTCAAGGATGTGGGACAAGGAGTTTCACTTACAACCAGCGAGGCCCGTTCTGACCTGCAGTTGTGTGCTGGGTAGTCCACCTTCCCTGCCTTCCCCGGGTTCTTCCTAATGAGGTCATGGACTCTGTTTTTTCATGGATTTGAAAACTGGTGGTACTAATTTCTGTCCATGATATTTTGCTGAGAACAAAACTTTAGCCTATTGGATTTTAATCTTTCTTTTGTGACAGGATTACCACATGGCTTTAAAAAAAATTGTCCTGAATTTGAAAACATTTTGGGAGAATAAGTTTTATATAGTCATGATACTTATTGAATTAAAATTATCTAAAATTTTATAATAATGTTGATATTATCATTTATTAAGCAGCAGTAGGCGTTATGTTAAGAGTTCTTTTTTGGTTTTTCGAGACAGGGTTTATGTCAAGAGTTCTTTTTTTTCCTTTCTTTTCTTTTTTTTTTCTTATGTCAAGAGTTCTTAATTATCTCATGCCACAATTCTATTACACAGACCATAATAATTAGCTCTTATTGTATGATGGTTATCCTTCTAAACACTATACTATACTATACTATACTATACTATACTATACTATACTATACACACACACACACACACACAATTTCATTTCATTTAATTTTCTCAACCCTATGGCAAGGGCAACATTGTCCCAAATTTGCAGATAGAGGATCTGAGGCTTAGAAACAGGTGCTAGTCTGCTGCAGAGTGTAAAAACCCACAGGCAGGGAGTCCTAATTAACAGAACTGATTTTCTCACAGTTTTAGAAGCTAAAAGTCCAAAGCCAGGGACTCACCGGTTCCTGACTTGGTGTCTTTTGGTGGTTTCTTGCTTCAAATACCTTATTCTCTGCCAGGACAGCTCTCTGGTGACTTTTCTCCTTCTTATAGGTACATCAACACAATCCAATTACAGTCTGTATTGAGACAGGGTCTTACTATACAACCTCTGCTGGGCTGGAATGCCTTCTGTAGCCCAGATTGGCCTCAGACTCACAGGATGACTGTACCTCTGCCTCCTGGGATGCTGGGATGAAAGGCAGGAGCCACAAAGCTCAACTACACATTCTTTTTAAATAAGGCTTTCTCTTTCTGTTTCAGCTCTCCAGAAAGCTTCCTCTTGCTCACCGGTTCTCACTAGTTAAAAGCTGGAGCAAATGGAGCTGACTTGGCCCCTGTAGACTTCTCCTGACATACTTGATTTCACATACTTGATATCTCAGGGGACTGTTCACTGGTCCAGATTTACCTGGTCTAGGTGAGTGTGAGAGTGAAGAATATCAAAACTACGTGTTCCCCCATGGTTGTCCCTGACTCCGTCTTTGGAATTCTTGTTCCTCTGCCCCAGTTCCATGATTCACAACTAGTTACTACTATGTCTGGTTCTGGGGTTCTCCTCGAATTTGTCTTGACGATGGACACGCTTTCCTCAGCCCCATGCAGCAGTGATACGTGCCTATTGTTTCTAGTTCTTTCTCTGTTACTATGACTTGACTCACACCAATCATGACTGTACAGTGGAGGAGACCCATAGAAGTTGGTGGGTGTGCTCTTAGCTGTGGAAGTTGAGTGATGTGTCATTAAATTATTTTATTTATTCTATTATTATTAATTTATTTATCTTTTGGTTTTCAGACAGGAAGTCTCTCTGTGTAGCCATGGGTGTCCTGAAATTCACTAAATAGACCAGGCTGGCCTTGAACTCAGAGATTCCCCTGCCTCTCTGCCTCCTGGGTGCTGGAATTAAAAGTGTGTGCCACTCCACCAGACTTAGTGACCTTGAATTCTTAACTTTACTCAGTACGTGGCTGTGTAATTTAAGTCTCTTTGGACCTCCATTTTTTGACCTGTAAAATGGGTTGGGAATGTTTGCTGTATGAATACCAAAGAGTAGATGAATGGGACGCATGGTGATACAAATGTGGATCTCACTTTAAAGGTGTGTGCTATAGAGAGAAATAATAAAATTAATTGCAATAATGACACAATTGATAAGATTTGAGTACTTTTTATAAGGAGATAAGACCCTCCCCAATAAGAAGTCTACCTGTAGAGAAGGGGCAGATGGGAAAGACAGTCTTTGTTGGAAGAAATTTTTCAAAGTGTTAAAATTTCCATAGTCCAATGGAAAGTGACCACCTGCCACAGAAGATGAAAGCCATTCTCTTAAATATAAAAGGGAAAGTTAGCTTCTCCTGTTAGTCCTTCCTCATGTGGGGTGCTTGTTAAGGGCTCGCCACTAGATCAGCGGTTCTCAACCTTCCTAACGCTGCGACCCTTTAATGCAGTTCCTCATGTTGTGGTAATCCCCAACCATAAAACTATTTTTGTTGCTACTTCATAACTGTGATTTTTGCTACTGTTATGAGTCGCAATGTAAATATTTGTGCTTTCCCGGTGGTCTTCAGTGACCCCTGTGCGAGCCACAGGTTGAGAACCGCTGTTCTAGCCTGCATTAGAGACCCAACTTTGTTCACGCACTAGTTCATGTACACTATAGGAGAAAACTGGATACAGAGTGCTGGTGGTGCTCTCACACTGGTCGGCAGAGCGTTGGCAGCTGCTCTGGCTGCTTTAGAGAAGGTTCCAGCTCTTACACTAGTGCCACTGAACACAGGGTGCCTTAAACCCAGCAATGTGCTATCTTGGCCTTCTCAGATCTGGATCCACTCTTCCTGGATGCAACTGCCGAGGGCGCCCTCTAGAGGTCGACTTGCTACTCTTGTTGCATCAGGCTCTGCCTTCAGCAGTGACAAGCTACCCACAATAGTTTGTCTACTGTAGGTTGTGGGTGAGACCTGGACTTCGAATACTAAATTTTAACTGTGTCACAAGATTCGAAACAGGCCTTTCCTGAGCCGGTAGTGTATAAAGGAAATGCCTTGTAGATAGGGCTCACACTAGGGATATCCTCTCTGGAATACCCTGATTGGGGTAGCAGCACTTAGGAAAGGGCTGATGGAGCTTTGAGGTATTTTAAAAGAGAGATCAACACTTATTGTAGAGGCGCTAATCACTGAACGAAATAAATAAGGGCCAAACTACAAGGTGTTAACAAAAAGATGAGAGAATTGGAGTGCGAATATTCAAAACTGGGGATGGGAACCTGGGTACACCAGAGGGAAAAAAAACCCACAAACATAAGAGACGGAACTGCTGGTGTCCCCGAAGCAGGGCTCAGGAGTTATCATTAAAACTATTAAATGCCAAATGCTGGCACAGTGCTTGGTTTGTATCAGGCACACAGTAAATAAATATTAGGTTCTGTCTTATTAAAGTTCATTGTTTAGGATATTAAGAGGACCAGAGAGGGAAAAAAAGTGGGTTTTTTTTGTTTTGTTTGTTTGTTTTTTAAAGAAAGTAGAGGAGAATCTGGCTTATTTATTTATATTTATTAAAAATTTGAGGAAGAATTTGCCCGTAGGATCTGATCATTTCCGAGTCAGGAGTTTCCAGAACTTGTGCAATCAAGGACTGGTGTTGTTCAGATTATTTTCACTTTCTTTTTTGGAACAAATCAGAGCACCGGAATAACCTAGGACAGAGAACTTGAAAATGAAATCAGAGTACAGGAGGAAATGGTTTGATATCCAAATCACCAGTGCTATATGAGATGGTTTTCTAGGAAGCTGGCATTTGCAGAGAACATAATAAGGGGGCGGAGAGGAGGGCAGGCACAGGGAGGAGGCCTCTGGTGTTAATTTTAAAAGAGAACAAGGGACTTTAGAAGTCCAAATAAAGGTTTAAAAAAAAAGAAGTGAATACCGTATTCTCAATAGATAACATGGAAAAAGTCATTTAAATTGGCTTGAGCAGTTGACAGTTAAGTGCTTGTCTTTCTTGGTGTTGAATTGAGGAAGAGGAGGGTGGGGACATTTGCTGGCCTTCCCTAGGGCTATTGAAGGGCAGGGAGGAGCAATTGCTGGCCTCTGTTGGAGAAGCTTCTCTGGCCTAGATTGAAAGCAGTACTGCCGGGAGGTGGTGGCACACGCCTTTAGTTCCAGCACTTGGGAGGCAGAGGCAGGCGGATTTCTGAGTTTGAGGCCAGCCTGGTCTACAGAGTGAGTTCCAGGACAGCCAGAGCTATACAGAGAAACCCTGTCTCAAAAAACCAAAAAAAAAAAAAAACCAAAAAACAAAAACAAAAACAAAAAAAAATGTTGTCCTTTATAAGACTTGCCTTGGTCATGGCGTCTGTTCACAGCAGGAAAACCCTAACTAAGACAACCACTTTGTCTTTACTCTCCTCCTTTGAAATAGCTACTGTTATCAGTGTAGTAGTGGTCCTAGATCTGGTTGGCTGCTTTATATGTATAAGACTATGCATATCCAGAAAGACAATGACAACTTTGATCTTTCAAAACCAGTACAGTAAGGGATGGAGCTCAGTGGGACAGAGTTTACCTTGAATACTTAGGGTCACGGGTTCCATTCCCAATGGTGCAGAAAAACAACAGCAGCAGCAACAACAACAACAAATCAGTGACATATTTTTTTCAGTCTGCCAAATTATGACTTCGTGGACAGATTTATCAGCCTCACTTTTTAATATTGCCCTTAGTTTATTTAGCCATCTCACTGATGAAGATTTAGGATGTTTTAAATTTAGGACCATGATTGTGAGGAAACAGACTAAGAAAGTCTTTTTCTAATGATGAAAATTATATTGTTTTTAGAAAGGAGATGGCATACCTGCCAGAGTTTGGAAAATTAAACAAGTGGTTTAAACTGCCTGTCTCTCTGATTTCCTCTGATCTACACCAAATCCCCAGTGGTTCTCAAAGTAAGTTGTCACAAGTGTTATTTGCTAGAGGACACGTTGGCTTTTCATGGGGTTGAAACTAGAGTGGAGGCAGAATAGGAAAAAAAAAAAAAGAACGGTTTTCTGTGGCTCAGGAGAGAGATAAAAGAATGAGCTTCACTGACATGGGGGTGGAGAGGTAGCTCTCATGGTAGAGTGCTTGCTGCTTGCCCAGCAGACTTGAAGCCCTGAGTCCAGTACCCTGCACTGCATAAACTGGGCAGAGTGGACTATGCTAATTATCACAGTTTTGGGAAGCAGAAGCAGGAGAATCACAAGTTCAACATCTGGCTAAAGAGTGAGTTCGAGACCAGCCTAGGCTACATAAGAATGAGATGAGAGAGGGAAATTAATAATAATAATAATAATTTATAAGTCTATAGTTTATAATTATATATAACCTTATAATTACATGTAATTGATATTATTATTATTATTATTATTATTATTATTTCTGGCTTCACTCAGCTGCAGAATTGCTCCGCACTTCAGTCCTTCACAGGGGAAAGCTGATAACTCATAATCACTGTATTAGTCCACTCTGGAGCACTATACTAAAATAATATCATTTTAACTTAGAAAAAATCCATGCTTCAGAGACTAGATCTTGACCTAGGACTGCCTGTTGCAGTTCTGCCTCTGGAAGCCTACATATTATAGTAGAAGTGTATGGTAGAATAAACTACCTAAGTCAAGAGCTAAGAAGTAAAGAGGGAGAGTCCCATAATCCCCTTTGGGGGCAGGCTCCTATCAGCTGAGGATTTCATGGTAATCCCCACCTCTTAAAGGTCCACAGCATGCCCCAGTAGCATTACTCTGTTGCTCTAGTTTCATTTGTGTTGCTGTCATAAAACACTCTGACTTGGGTAACAGTTGTTAATTTGGCTTCTAGTTTCGGGTCACAGTCCACCATTGAAGGATGGCAAGGCAGGAACAAGAAGTGTGCCTTGCTATTTCACACAGCAAAATCCATGATCTAGAAACTCTCTCACATCCTCACATCCAAGTAAGTACAGCATAAACCATGTAACAATGGTGCTTGGTGGTTTGCTCAGGCACTGGCTCAGCCAGCCTCCTTATACAGCCCAGGACCACCTTCCTAGGGAATGGTACTACCTACAGTGGGCTGGAATTTTCTGTATCAATTGACAATCAAGACAACACTCTCACTCAACAGACCGATCTGCCCTGGGCAATCCTTCAACTGAGACTCTCAGGTAATGCTACATTATATTAAGTTGACAGTTAAAGCTAACTAGGATACCCGGAGATCAAACTTTCAAAATCTTTTGGGGATCCAACTCATATTTAGGCCACTGTACCCATTAATGACTGTAACCAGTAGTCCCAATCCTCATAGGGAAGATCTTTACTTTAAAACATATATTAAACTGATAATTCTCTATCCTCTGTGTCCATGCATTTAGAAATCATTTAATACATTCATTACCTGGACCACTGAGATAGCTCAGTGTACAAGCTTAAAGACATGAGTTCAACTCCCACGTCCTACGATAGAGGAGTTAAACCGACTTCTGACTTCCACATGAACACCATGACACCTGCATGCCTGTACACACACACACACACACACACACACACACACACACA